CAATGCATTTAGAATAGTTTTAAGGTTTAGAAATCATGCATGTAAAAGCACATCATAAAACAATAATTAACAATAAATTAATAATAACCATAATTCATTAAGTGATTAATATTTTAAAAACTAAAATTAACACTTTTTAAATTTAATCATATATAATTCCAATTACAACTCTGTGATTCATATTATTATCATCCCCATTACAGAGGTGTAAACTGAGTGTGACTGGAGTGTGATTTGCATATAAAACTCTTGAAATTTCTTTGCTCTTAAAGGAAAATCCCAACCCATCATCCAGCCTGCAAAGCCCTCCATGAACTGCTCTGCCTACCTTCCCAGCCCTTCTCATTTTTGAACCTTGAGCCTTACCTGTGAGTGGCCTTTACACATGAGCTTCTCAGTGTACCAAGCTCTTTTATGTCAGATCATCTCACCTACTGTTTCCTCTGCCTGGAATGGTTGCCTCCTCCTCTTCACTTAGCTAGTCACTTCTACTCTTAATTCCAACTTCATACACACTTCCTTCTCCTTGAAGACCAAAACAGATTTATCTATTAAAATAATCTGGGATAAGGTTGGGCACAGTGGTTCACGCCTGTAATCCCAGCACTTTTTGGGAGGCTGAGGCGGGTAGATCACCTGGGGTCGGGAGTTGGAGACCAGCCTGACCAATATGGAGAAACCTCGTCTCTACTAAAAATACAAAAATTAGCTGAGTATGGTGGCACACGCCTGTAATCCCAGCTACTCGGGAGACTAAGGCAGGAGAATCACTTGAATCTAGGAGACAGAGGTTGCAGTGAGCCGGGGTCGTGCCACTGCACTCCAGCCTGGGCAACAAGAGCAAGACTCCATCTCAAAAAAAGAGAGGAAAACAATTTGGGTAATTAATTGTTAAACATTAGCACGATCAGAATCACCTCTGCCATAATTCGATTAGGGGAGGAAAATGTTAATCCTATTTTTCACTGTATCTGCAGCATCTAGCACTGTCCTTTGTTCATAGTAGAAGCTCAACAAATATTTGTTAAATAAATGAATAAATGTTTGGAAAGAGCACAGCCATATCTAACTCCAAAAGTTGCACTCTTAAACCACAAATAATTGATTGCCTGATGCTAGTACTTGGAAGTCATTATTATTGCAATGTTTAAAGTTTGCTTATTGGAAATTTAAAATACTTTCTAGAATATCTGATAGATGAAGTTTTTATTGGCAAAAGCAGACAAGAGAAGGAAAAAATGAAGAGAAATAAAGCGAGATAGAAAAGTCACCTTCATTTAAATCTGATGACAGCAGAAATGGTCATTTAAAACAGTGCTACCTAGCAGCAGTTGAGACTTTCAGAAATAGAGATGAGGAAAAATATGGTTCAGCAACAAATAAGCAAAAGTTAGAAACATTGGCATGTAGAAGCAGGGTAAGAGGCCTTTAAGAAAATCAGGGTTCCACAATAAAGACAAATCAATAACAAGAGATACCTGTGATATTTGGTATGTGGAGTGGGGGAAAAAGAAGATGAAGAGGTGGCAGAAATAAGCAACTCAGAGTTTCTTGAAAGAGAGGATATATTATTAGACAATGAAACTACATCAGGATCTTTTTCAATAAATTAAGTTACAGAGCCTTCTCTGTGCCCATTTATCTCTCTGTACCTAAAGCTATAAATATACAAAAAGTTTATGATATTATATCTTAGCCGTTCAGAAAATGCACATGGATGTATGTGTGTACGTGTGTGTGTATACCTGAATTTTTGAAGCAGATGTTAAATTATACTATTACATGTTGAATAGATCAAGAAGCCTGAGGCACATATTATATGTTTTAAAAAATGTGTATTTAAAATTAAAATAAAAACACCCATGCTCAGAAATTTCAATTGGTATCAAAAGCCCTCGTCATGTATGTGTAAAACTCAGCTCAGCCTACTGTCGAGAGAGGTTATTGTTAATGTACGTATCAACTTGAGTGAGACATGGGCTGCCAAGATAATTGGTTAAATGTTCTTGTTGGTGCGTTTGTAAGGGTGTTTCTGGATGAGATTAACTTTTGAATAAGTAGACTGGGTAAAGTAAATTACCCTCCCCAGTGTGGGTGGACCTCATTCAATCCACTGGAAGCCTAAATAGAACAAAAGCCATGGTAAGGGGGAATTCCCTCTCTGCCTGATTGGTTTTCATGTCTTCTACACTTGGACTGAAATTATACCATCAGCTCTCCTGGGTCTCCAGCTTGCAGACAGCAGATTGTGGGACTTCTCTGCCTTCATGATTGTGTGAGCCAAATCCCTAAAATAAATAACATAAATCTCTTTGTCTAGCTAGCTAGCTGGCTAATCCTATTAGCTCTGTTTCTCTGGAGGACCCTGGCAAATAGAGGAGCTTCATACTTAAGAGCTGTGACTTTCCTGAATTCCAGGTAATCTAGAGAGGGCAAAACCACTCTGTCTTAAGGATATCTAGAGATTCTTGAACTTCCAATGCTTACCAACTCCTTGGACCAAGTGAATAAACTTATACCCAGGGTAATGCAACATACACTCATCCCACTTTTGAAGTCCTCTCCAGTTCAGTCTCCAGATCCTTTTTTCCATTACAGCCGGCATCCTCTAATAAGTTGTGCTATTTTATCAGAGATAGTAGAAAAGCATTGTTTTGATTCTCCCCCCATTATCTATAGAGGCCTTGTCCAGTAATCTTTCAAATGTTACAAAATTTTTAATGTAATAATTTATAGATTAAGCATTTGCAAATATTTTAGTTATTAAAGTACTCTTCTGCAAGACAAGGGAAGAGAAAGATAAGCCAGCCTGGCTAACCGTAGACATCTACCTGTCATTCTGGTGAGAAAATTCACCTTACATTCAAATCCAAATCCTGGATTTCACATACTGATATGTAATCCTGGATTTCACATACTGATACTTCGTTATAGATTTTTGTCCCTATGTTTTTGAGGAATATTGGTCTGTAGTGTTCTTTTCTCATAATGAAACTACCTTTTCAAAAATTATAACTGAGGAAATTATAACAGTGAAAGAGATCAGACCTAACTGACTCCATCTTTCTTCTAACCTTTAAACTGTCCTTGTTCTTTCCTAGCCATAGGCCAAATAAACCTAGGGAAGGAGTTTAGTTTATGGTTTGACTCTGAAATAAAATTGATAATAGCACTTTCCTGAAAAGACTCCCTTCTTGCGTTGGGACCAGTCTGCCTTCTTAAGACTAACAAATTAGCTATAAGATTAGAAATTATGGTTTAGGGCTCATGCAGCCTCTGGCTGCAAGAGTCTGAACTTCCCCAAATTGCTCCTAGGGATAACACCACTATTGTAAAACCTAAGATCAATGTTTGAGATATTTTACAGACCCTGCACTCAGTTGATCAGCTGACGCCACTCAGACCAGTAATCCGACTCAGCTGGTTCTATGATCCCACCCAGGAAGAGAAGATAGCAAGAAAACCTCACTTCAACCCCACTATGATTCTGTCTCCAATCTGACCAATCAGAACTTCCCACTTCCCAAATCCCTACCCACCACATTATCTTTAAAAATTCCAATCCCCAAATGTTCTAGGAGACTGATTTGTGTAGTAATAAAACTCCGGTCTCCTGCACAACTGGCTCTATGTGAATTACTCCTTCTCTATTGCAATTCCCTGTCTTGATACACTGGCTCTGTCTAGGCAGTGGACAAAGTGAACCCACTGGGTGGTTACAACAATATTTTTATCTAGTTTTGGTAATTAGATAAACTTGGCATTATACAATGAGTTAGAAAGATTCTAATTATCTTCAGATTATTTAACTCTTTTAAAGGATTCATCAGTGAGACTATCCATGAATGGAGTTTCCTTTGTTCAGTTTTAAACTCAAATTCAATTTCTTTAATCAGCGTAACACTATTCATTGTATGTTTCTTCTTAGTGAGTTTTTTTAAGTTTGTGTCTTTTCAAGGAATTGATCTAGTTTAAGCTTTTTAAATTATTGGTATAAAGTTGTTTATAATATTTTCTTATCAATTTGAATTACTGTAATGATTCTTTGTCTTCATTCCTAATAATGGTAATATAAAATCTCTGTATCTCTATTTATGTCAATCTGGCTACAGATTTACCAATTTTATTAATATTTTTAAAGATGTGGCCAGGCGCAGTGGCTCACGCCTGTAATCCCAGCACTTTGGGAAACTGAGGCAGGTGGATCACCTGAGGTCAGGAGTTCAAGACCAGCCTGGCCAACATGATGAAACCCCATCTCTACTAAAAATATAAAAATTAGGCAGGTATGATGGCCCACACCTGTAATCCCAGCTATTCGAGAGGCTAAGGCAGACTAAGTTCATCTCCTTGAACCTAGGAGATGGAGGTTGCAGTGAGCCGAGATCATGCCACTGCACTCCAGCCTGGGTGACAGAGTGAGACTCCATCTCAAAATAAAAAAAAAAAGATTTTCTTACTTCTGCTTACTTCAACTTTCACTTGCTTTGCTTATTTCAATATCTTAAGATGAAAGTTAGATCATCGATTTGAGTCCTTTCTTCTTTTATTCTAGAAGTATTTTTTGCTATAAATTTTCCTTAAGTCACTGCTTTAACAGAATACTACACATTTGTATATTGTATCTTCACTCGCTTCAGTTAAAAAATGTGTAATTTCCCTTGTGACATTCTAACAAAGGAGAGTTTGTTGACTATTTCCTAAATATACATGGTTTTCAAGATGTTTTTGTTACTGATTTCCAGTTTAACTTTATCATCATTTGAGCTCATACTTTGTATAATTTTCATTATTTTCAAATTACTAAGGATTTTTGTAGCTCATTAAAGGGTTTAGTTGGAAGTTGCATGTGTATCTGAAAGGAAGGTATATTCTACTCTTGTTGGGTGGGGTGTCATTTAAATATCAGTTATGCCACCAGTCAGTCCAGTGAACCAGATCTGTTCTCACTTCAAAGCTACAAGAGAATAAAGGCAAACAAAAGAAAATTCACTTCTTACTTGGGTTACTGCTGAAGACGTTAATACTTTTCCATTTTCGGTCAACTCTTATTTCTCTTCAGAGTTCTTAGGCAGTTATTTTTCTTTTGCTGGTATTGCAACATTCTTTTAAACTGTAAAAAAATTTAATGAAAGAAAACTAATGGCATTTTAACAACATTTTGTGAATACTAGTTACAAATCAAGCCCTAATGCAGATTACCTCATTTACTCCATATAAAAAAATGTGCCGTTATTCATTATTAATTCTTTATCCCCATTTTGTAGATAATAATGTGGGTTTTAAACAATTAAATAACTTGACCAAACTCCTTCAGTTAAAATTAAAAAGAATTCAGGATTGAGCATAGGTTGCTGCCCAATAATATCTATCTATATTCTTATTGTTAAAGCAAACTGAAATCTGGCCTGAGAAATCCTCTGTATTTCCATGCATGAGTCCCTGTAAACAAGCCATAACACATCTTAGTAGATAGGCAGACTGAAATCCTAATGAAGGAGTATGCATTGGTAATAACAACTTAGTATCAGCCAACCCTAGCAGACATACTTCAACCACTCACAGGTAGCTGACTGTTTAAATCATTTTCAAATAAGGCAAATGCCAAGCTGTAACCAATCCAGCAGTTTCTTTACCTCACGCCTGTTTTCTATACATTATTATCCTTTTTCTGTCCATAAATTGGCTTCAACTATGCAATATCCATGGAGTCTCTCTCAATCTGCTGTGATTCTGGGGAGTGCCCAATTCACATATTATTTTCTTTTTCTGGTTCAATTAAACTCTGTTACATTTGATTTGTCTAAACTTTTTCTTCAAACAGATCTGGTGTCACGAGTGGGATCCGAGGCAAAATTTCAGCAACCTCCAGGAATGCCAGGTGACCAGAAGAGGTGCCCACAGCACTAGTTGTGCTCACTGCTCCTTTGATTGCAACTGGAGGTCATAGATGACATTTCTCTAGGATTCTGAACTTTATTTATTTGTGATCTGAGCTCTGAATTTATTTGAACAATGTTTAGACTGAACTGGGTACAGAATCAAATTACATTTGCTAATTAACTGGATGGGATTTAGTTTGAAGCCTTAGGTAAGTACTCTTATTTTTGATACTGAGTTTGTCTCAATCCAATGAGTCTGGGACTCCAACTTCTGGGACTTCAGCTAATTTTATATACAAAAATTATGGGCCCAGAATGTGTGCATCATTAGGAAAATGAGTTAACCTTATTAGACAAAACTTAGAATCAAGATAGCCACAATAGAGGACTTTTAATTTGGATAAAATTGTTAATTTTGAGGCATATTAAGAAAAGGAGATCAAAAACCCCCACAAAAACCTTGCAATGTGTTCTTTCATTGGTATGCAGAGGCCCCTAAAAGACTAAACTAATCAAAATTTTTTCCTTAAAAAATTCTTTGCAAAAAGCAAATGAACTAACCCCAACTGTTCCTTCTCTTTATCCATTTCTGCCTGCATACTCCGACACCACTGACCTTTTTGCTAAATTACCCTTTCACTCGGAAGATGATGAAAAAAAGAGAAATTAGACAGATACCTAACAAAGTAAGGCCTTCTGATCAGCCAGGCCCATCTGCTGTAACCACTCTGTCTCCATGGTCTAAAACTGAGCTTAGAGCCATTGGAAAGTACTTCCCTGATCCAAGAGGAACTTCTCAAAAATTTCCTAGGAATTTAGGATCCCCATAGAAGGTTATGATCCAGGACTCCCTGACCTTTATCAATTTAATCACTTGATATTGAGGCCTGATAAAGCTTGCAAATGGATGACAGCAGCAGAATGGGATAAACCTGAGAAGAAACAAAAAGAGTTAGAAAAAATGCTAAAAACCTCTTAAATTCAATTTCTAAATTTTCCACAAAAAGTTGATCAGTCCATCATGAAAACAAAAACAGGATAAACCAGTTTCAGATTATAAACTCTGTAGAAACACTGTTAGAAACACTTGTTTGTCAAACATTCTGGGCTCAAAGTTCAGCAAGGAGTATTTTCTGCAGGAACAGAAATGTCATTAACTGCTCTATTTATAAGTAGATTCCATTTTGAACTTAGCAATTTAATTAAAAATATAAACTGAGATGAGAAGTTATAGATATGACTAAATTAGTGGCCTTAACTGAACATTTTGAGAGGACTCTAGAGCTAGAAAAAAACCCAAAAGATTAACAAACTTAAATCTCTTTAATTAGAACAGTTACAGGGGCTGGGACCAAACAGACCTTCCCATTCTCCTTTTAAATCACAACCAAGAGGTCCTAGAACAAGAAATTATTTGCTCTAAGATATCTGCTTTATTTGCAAACAACTAGGACAGTGGAAAAGACATTGTCCCCCTTTAGTAACAGTACAGCCATAAGCCTCCCTTTAGGCCAAACTGTTCTGCCACTAGAGGAAGCCCAAGAGACCTTTGATTTGATGATAACATTGATGCAGCTCCAAGGGATTCTGTGGTAAATTGCTCCCCATTATACCCTTAAATAAACATGGAGAAACAGAGGTTAAAATAAATGGGGAGTCATGTAAAGTCCTGATGGATACTAGAGCTATTCTATCTACAATCAATCCCACTTTAATAGGCCAACAAATTCCTTGGAGTAGAAAGGTCGTTTCTGTGGTAGGCATTTCAAATCAAATTCAAGAGATTCCAATATCTGAAGTTGGGGATCTTTTCAGAAAAACACTCCTTTTTACTACGTGAAATCACTCCGGTAAATTTGCTAGGGCAAGACTTACTCTCAAAGCTAAAAGGGCACATAAAATTTTTCTTAGAGGGGAGAAAAAATGTTAGAGTTTCCTGAGTCTCCTGAACCAGAATTGTTATGCTGTCTACAGGCAAAAATTGATAAGAACAAAACTCAGGCTTGCAATACCCCAATCATTCAAAAATACCTGAATCTTCATGGGCCTCTTCTTCAATTGATATAGGAAGAATTAAAGTGTGGAACCTATAAAAGTCCAAATAGGCCATTCTACACTTTTGCTTAAATTATCACAATATCCACTAAATCTTGAAGCAATTTAAGTGCTCTCACCAATTATAGAAGATTTAATTAAACAAGGACTTATAATTTCATGCACCAGCCCTGTAACACTCCGGTCCTATCAGTTAAAAAGCCAAATGGATAAAGTTGGAGATTTGCTCAAAATTTAGGGGCAAGCAATCAAATTGTACTATCAAGATTTTCTGTAGTCCAAAATCCTAATACTCTATTATTTAATGTACCCACGGATGCCAAGTGGCTCACGGCAATCGATATGCTTAGTCTTCTTTAGACTACTCTTTCATAAAGAGCATCAACACTTGTTTGCCTACTAGAAAACATCAGCAGTACCCCAGTGGCTATAATGCCACTGGGATTTACCAAAGCCCCTTCCTATTTTTCATAGGCATTGCATCAGGACTTAATTACACTACAGTTTCCTTAAAATCCTACCCTCATTCAGGAGGTAGGTGACTTCTTGTTATACTCTCCCACTAAAGAGCAGAGTGCTCTGAAGTGGACTGTTTGCCTTTCACAGCAACTCTCCATAAAAGTCACAAGGCTTTTATGGAAAAACTTCAGTTTTCAGAGAAAGATCCCACTATTTGGGACATGACTTGATGGCTAAAGGGATTTCCCTCTCACCTAAGAGAGTACAAACTATTCAGTTTTCCTCAACCTGCAACCAAAAGCCAATTGAGAGGTTTTCTTGGACTTGCAGGATGTTACAGATTCTGAGTTCCAAATTTTTTCTTAATGGCCTCGTCATTGTATGAGTCCACTAAAAATGCTGTACCTGAGCAGACTTTTAGCCAAGTGAGATTGACTTTACAACAGCCTTCAGCTTTAGAAATTCCAAATTACGGCCGGGCACGGTGGCTCAAGCCTGTAATCCCAGCACTTTGGGAGGCCGAGGCGGGTGGATCACGAGGTCAGGAGATCGAGACCATCCTGGCTAACATGGTGAAACCCCGTCTCTACTAAAAATACAAAAAACTAGCCGGGCGTGGTGGCGGGCGCCTGTAGTCCCAGCTACTCGGAGGCTGAGGCAGGAGAATGGCGTGAACCTGGGAGGCGGAGCTTGCAGTGAGCCGAGATCGCGCCACTGCACTCCAGTCTGGGCGACACAGCGCAAGACTCCGTCTCAAAAAAAAAAAAAAAGAAATTCCAAATTACACCAAACCTGTTACCTTGTTCATTCATGAACGTAACTGTCAGGCATTAGGAGTTCTTAGTGAAGAACATGGGGAAAAACATAGGCCAATTGCATATTATATCCCAGAATTAGACCCAGTAGCTAAGGCATATCCTAGTTGTTTAAAAGCAGTAGCAGCAGCAGCCAAGCTGTAAAAGCTTCATCTGATCTGGTTTTAGGAAATGAACATAATTTGCAAGTCCTACATGTTGTGGAAAGTCTGTAAATTCCAACAAAACCCAACATTTTTCAGTAAGTAGACTAACATCTTATAAAATACTTCTCCAATTTCCTAATCTTTGTCTAAAATGCTCAGTACACGTAACCCTCCTACTCTATTACCTCTGCCTAACAATGATGAAGACCACAATTGTGTAAGGATAGCGTCAGAAGTAGTTACCTCTCCTGTGGACTTATGAGATGCTCCATTGGGTAATATTGAATTAAAACTTTTTATTCATGGGTTCTATGCCAAAAACTCAGAAGGAAAATATCAGGCAGGGTGTGTTGTTGCCACTTACAATAAATAAATAGGGAATGAAATTCTTCCTCAATTTAAGTCAACTCAACCTGCAGAGCGTTTTGCCCACACCCATTGCTTGTCATGTAAGTAAATACAAGTGAGTAAATCTTAATACGGATGGCAGATATGCTTTTGGAGTAATTCACAATTTAGACATAATATGGAAACTATGAGAGTTTCTCACTTTTAGTGGGATGCCCATCAAAAATGGACTCCAAGTAGATAAACTCATTTTTGCTATCTTGTTACCATAATAGATCACCCTTACTAACATTGAAGCTCATACCTATAGATCTGAACCTATTTTGGTTCAGGGAATGATTTATCACATTTTTATGCTAAATCAGCTAGTGCTTAAACTGTTTGGATATGCAATCTGAATAAACTCCA